GAAAACTTTGAAAGAAGCGCTGTTGTCAACATGGGTGTATTTTAGTTCGAAAAAAGAATGGAGACTACATACAGCAATAAATGTAGAAAATCGTCCAACAAGAATAAAACATCAGGGACATTTCTTTTCGACCATTGATCTCCCAGATTCTTCGTATTCGTGTTTTGAAATCCACATTTGCTGGAAGGTACCCTGGCAAAAATAACGTTTTAGTGGCAGAACATACCAGAGATCCGAGAATTGACCCTCCGACCCAGCTAGAGAATCTGCGCTCCGGCAAGGAACTGGGGAAATTAACTTTTAATCGCATGCTCTGAAAACATATGGTAAGAGTAACAGCAGCATACCGGTGGTGTTTTTATGTTAAGGTCACGCTGAAGTCGATCAGTAAAGCCCATAATTAAACTTGTTCCTCCAACGACCACCACATTGTTATACAAATTCTTTACTTATCAAAAGACAAAGTATTTCTTACCGGTCGGATGTCGATATCACAAAGGCTGATGCTGCTCGCGACAACGTGGCTCATGGACAACATCGAATTACCGCCACATTCCTAAAGAATAAAAACTTATGTAGACCTTACGGGCAATACTGATGGATCAAACAATGCTTCCGGAAGTTGGAATCGTTCATGGGCAAGTTCGACGTTATATCCATTAGGAAATTCGTAAGAAATCATTGGAAAGGTATCCATTTGGCTATAAAGAAAGCAGCGAAAAGAGACGCTTAGGTATCAATTATATTTACTTGAAAGACATGTAAATGAGCGAAGGTTATTAAATATTAAATTTAAAATAGTGTCGGAAATGCGTATTTAGTTTGCAGAGAGCAAAATGTTTCATGTGGATTCAATCAATTGTGGACGCTATTTTCTGGTTTTCTACTTGCAACGAAGGCAGAGAGCATTAGAAACAGAATTTCGGCTACACCTCAGTCGTGGTGCCATTGAAACCACCCTGTGTTCCGAAACCAGAAATACAAAAATGTAGCCAGATAAAAAGATGAAAATGTGAGATTCAAGTGTATTTAACGAGGTATCCATAGTGCAGATAGGCACACTAACAAGCCTGAATGCCGTCTTGTCTGAGTCATAGGCAAATTATTTTGCGCAAGGCTTGTACTGCAATTAGATATGACTTCTTCGAATTCACTATTCTAGATAACGTGCGCGCATATCAAAGAGGCCTAGCAAAATATAATGCTTGCCCCGAGGGTGTTCGGAACATGAGAAAACTTAACTGCGGAACAAAGATATGGGCTTCGGTTGGAACTTCTTTACATGAGTATTATAGACATACATCACGGGGAATGGAATACGCGTACCACGTGAATAATCTACGCACCTATAATAAATGTCCTTTCATCCACGCAGTTGGGTTATAATGATCCCGGGAGTAAACTCACAAGTCACATTATAGCACAGTGGCCCACTCAAGCCTCGTGATATGCACGATGCTGTAATCCCCATCTCATAACAAGCGAAATGAGCACTACTTTTGGGAACAAAATAAATGATCGGATGGCTTACCTGCGACTAAAGGGTCCATTAAGAAGCAGCACCATGCAGGCACCAAAATCGGTTGCCGAATAGCGAAATTAAAGGGCGTTCTACTGTTAGATGCAAGTCTGATTCGAAACTTCCCCGGCTAGTCAGATGGACTACACCTTGGTACGTTCAAGGTTCCGCAGCTGGGTTTACGATAGCAGATCCATACATGGAGCCCAGATTAATGACGCCCATAAGACGGACCATGATCTAGTCCGTGCACTCTTAAAAATTTGCCT